AGTTATTTTTTATTTAATAATTTACTTAATTTTCAATAATTTGTTCATTTTTAGTAATTTACTTCATTTTTTCATTCATATTTGTATAATAACGTTTTTCTTATGATTTGTTAGTCGCCGCCTTGATAAAGCGTCAGATGAGAAAGATTAATTTATATTTGTTGTATTTTTACATATGCTTTGCGTTACAGATACGATTCGATCATATTCGAACCAGAGTTCAAGCAGACTATAATTGTTAATTACGTATTTATTTTAGTATTAAATTGCTACAAGATTCCGTGACATTTTTTATTACACATTTTAGGTTATAATTATCACTTTCTCAATGTTTACCCTTTTTTTTTCAGTATCCTAATGAAATAACAGCATATGTTACACAGTAAATATTTTCCCAATAATGTTAACAAATTTTGCTAATTTTTATAATGTATCTTTTGATTCGTAAATCATATATAAAAAATAGTATAGGTCATCCCTAGAAAAATTCCCTAGAAATCCCTAGAAATCCATGATTTTTTTTATTACTAAATTTGTTAAAATTTGTCATATTTTACATTATAATTGTTTCTTTCTCAATTTTCTCTCGTTTCTACAATATCCTAATGGAATAACAATATATATATAACACTAAAGTTTTCTCAACAATGTTACAAATTTTTCTCGATATATCTCCCGATTCATAAATTATATGTAAAAAATAGTACAGGCTTATCCCTAGAAAAATTCATGGGTGTAGCATAATTCATCGTATCGGATCCTTTTGTAACGAAATATAAAAGAGATAACATCACATATGGTGATCTGTGTCCCTAACCTGTGAGGCAGGCCCACTCCTTTTCCCGCCAGAAATTCTGGCGCCAACGTGTTTCGACGACGTTTCTTTCGGATACGTCGACCGGAATCCGCTCTCGGTTGCTAGGCAGGAAAATTCGAATGGCACAGCTGGTGTATTACGTCTGCTCGAAAGCGTGTGATTTTTTTTTGCTATACCGAGGCGAAGAAAAAGGACGTTCGTCTGATAACCACAGATTTTGAATCGCATACTCGAGTCACTTAAATTTTCTCACGCATATTCTGCCATGCTAATTACTAATGCACGACAGATGCTCGCTGGCTTGCTTCGACAATGTTGTTTGTTGTTCGTGACGCTATGCTGAATTGTGAACGCATACAATGAGTGAATACGTTTATCAAAAACAGCTGTCTTAAGTTGGACGACTATTGTTTTCAATTCTTTGTTTCTTCTCGGTTTTGCTATCGTTGGAAACATTTTTCTATCAATTTGAATACACACTTGATATAATAGAATGTAACACTTGAATATTTGTTGATAAAGATTTTCGTAACTAAGAATTCTTCCCAAATCATTCAATTTTTATATGACAGAAATATTACTATATGAAAAAGTGAACTACACAAAAAGTTTTACTGTAAATGTTTCACGAATGTGTAATTATATTGCACATATTGCAAACAATTGCGTGTTGTAACATTTTGCGCATTGAAATTTGAAATGCGTTTTCCCCATGTCCGAGTCACGATCGCACTTCTGAAAACGTAATGTTGGCGTTAGCGTGTGGCTCAGCGTTCCTTTCACCTTGTATTACTGCAATAAGTCATCCTGACAGGAACAGGTGCAACCTGATGTAACTAATCCGATTAATTATTGACCCGCACTAAAAAGACTGGACAGTAAAAGCTCTATCTCTTCCTTTAATTGCTTTACATTTTTAGCAATTAAGTAAAGAGTAACAGAACTAGTAGTCTTATCTAAAAGTAGATAAATATGTATGCGTGTGTGGTAACAGACGTTCCGGATGATGCGAAGACGTACTAATGGGATTTCTTACACTTGTAACGGTTAACTATTTTCATTTCTTACCTATTCAATTTATCGATTAGCAATAAAAATATAGGTATATTTTTACGCAGCGTGGTGCAATGTTGCTTTCTTTGCACATTCTCTGTTACTGTGAAATTTAATGGCTTCATGGCAGATAAAGCAGTTCTTTTCTTTCGAACGTACATTTTTCAACACATTTTTTTTATATAAATATTCTCTTCAAAACTGTAATTTTAATGTTATTAAATGTAGAGAAAGTTTCAACTTTGTTGGGAAAAACAACAGTAATAATTTAACAGAAAAATTTATGTATATTTTGAAGTTTTATAAAGAAATATGTTTTTGATTTTTGTGTAGGTTGCATTAAAGTAAATGCATCGTGAAAATACGATCGCAGTGCCGTAGCACTGTATTTTCCTAACAACAGTCGGTAAAGGATGAATCTACTATTTTATCCGCCTCTGGTAATTTGTGTGTTATCATCAGTGACAAGCTTCCAACTCGTACGTGACCACAAACAAGGTACAGAATAGACAATTCTGAAATACCAATCGTGAAAATAATCGAGAGATTTTGTGTTCTCTCCGATTCAGAGTAGTGATTTTAGGAATTGTATTCAGTTAAATCATTAAAGTTAGTAAAGTTAACAGATGTCAAGAAAAACCTGTTCTGGCACCTCTACAGATTTTTCATATTAGCTGTTTCCAACTGGTTGTCCTGTTGCGCAGTTGCCATTTTTCTTTTACAGTCGTATCCACGTGCATACCTCGCTCGTCTTCGAAACTTCAAACGTTTGCAAAATGCTAAAAAAGAAAAAGAAGTAAATATAATAGAGATAGACAATATCGAAATGATGAGAAAAAACTCATGAAATTTGACAAGGACACGGTGGCAATACCGCACTGCTACAATATTTTATGATTTCATTTTTACGAGGTTATGAGATAAAGTTATATTCACGAGTAGCAATTTTAGAGGGAAAAATTTGTGTGCAGTCTGGTTACGTCAAAATCGGAAAAATAACTTTCGTTAGTATCTCTTTGACTATTGAGTCTCAAAAGAATACTGATAAAACAGTTTCTGCTCAAAACCACTGTTCGAATTAACTGGTAAATGTTTGTTCACATGCATAAGAGCAATCTGTATAAGGCTACATAAGTATCATAAAAGTATTGAATCCGTATACTTCGTTAGCAACTATAGGTTATCTTATACCTTATTTATGATTACATGGTTACACTTAATTTTAACGTCGGACAGCCTGTGTGGCAAAAGATTTGGTTAATCCCGTCGGTACTAAAGATAACTATAGTCACCCACCACAGTGGGTTCATTGTCTCTTAAGACTGACTGTAGTCATTTATCACAATTTTACATAGTTGGTATGTAACAACTGTCATAATTGTAAATAAAATGCTTTAAACATGCTTTTTTATATAAAGTAATTTATGCAACTTTTGTTTTCATAAATGCGTGTATATTTCCCTATAATGTTTACAGTTTTGACAATACCGTAGCGAAAGTGCTAAATATAATATAAATCTGTAATGAGTAAATAATTTTATTGCTAATATTTTATGATAAAATAATATTAATTATTTCTTTTCTATTATTTTTGACAGGCTAGTCGTACACTTGCACCCTGGGAACACTTGTTACCATGCCCGAAGTGTTCATTTCCCTGCCACGTAGATGGCGAGAAGAACGTGGGAACGTGTTCGAGACAAGGTTGCTCAATGGAATTTTGCACCTCTTGTTCATCGAGGCCGCACACTGGCCCCTGTAAGACACCCCTGTTAGCCACGCCGACCAAGAGGAACAAACGGCTAGTCGTCGGTTCAAGACAGAGCAAACGGAATCTCAGGAGATTATGAACTTTTTCGTTGGAGATCGTGGATCGTTGAAAAAATTTCGTTATATGGATTTTCCATTTTTAACCTCGTCACTTTTCTGAAGGAAAGTTAAACTATAATTGTCCTAGCATAGTGTTATCAAAAGCCATAAGGAATATTTTTGGAATTATTTAATAGTTGCGGAAGTAGGGATTTTTAGAAAAGTGAAAGAACGTTGTTAATTCAATTTTAGACCAATTTTTACATTTAAACGGATAAATTTAGAAAAAAGTGATTGAAAATTATAATGGGATTACCTTTAAGAAACATAAAGGATACAGTAATCCATTATATTTTATAGTACGTTCCACAAACGATTTCCGTGACTTATTTTTAACAGTCAGAAGTAAATCAATTACCAATGATTACTGGTAATTTAAGTGAAGCTCATTTTAAAACTCGTTTTCGTTTCGAACCACTCGTGATATCCATGTTATCGAGCAAGTAAATGGAGAAGAGTAGCATCTTTTAGAGGATGCAAGAAAGCGATGAAATCTCGGTTGCTAGTTTATCATGATTTACATTTAAAGTAAAGGCTGCATAAGATACGCCCCTTAGACCTTTATCAATTCAGCGACAAATTAACGGAAAGTTTATGAAGTTAGGAGAGCATTAATTACGTGAACCTCGCTCAGTCGGTAATTGAATCCGAACGTTGAAAATTAAGTAGGTCCTGCAAGGGATCGTAACTGATTGTAAGCGATTCCAATTGTTGTCTAGCTACGTGATTAACAGGACTTTTACGCGGCCCTTAAATTTCGTAATTGAGTCGGTGGGAACTAGTTTCGACGTTTTCTGTTGATGTATGTCCAATGAACAAAGACGGGGGGAAAGCAGACGGACCTGAACGGTCACCGATTAACAATACGAACAAGAAGCGAGGGCAGAGGAAAAAAGAGAATACGGAGGAAGGATATAGGAGCCGACTCGTAAAACGCATAAAGACACAGGCCAACACTTTGCGTCGACCACTTTTTACTCGCTCGAGTAGCCGTCGTGCAGCGCGATCTAATGAAGCCAGTATCGGGGAAAGACCACTTGGTTGGCTAGAAATGAAGTTACACCCTGTTTGACCGACTGATCTTCTTTCTCGTGCAAACAATCTTTCTCTTACAAAGAAAGACCAATTATCGTCTGACATTGTGCACTGTTCGCGAGGTTGTAACGCACGTCCACCGTTTAATTTCTCAACAAGTACTCTGGTTAATTGGTCACGCGTTATCTGTCCGTCTGCCTAGTCGCGTTTCCTTCATTCGATACGCCGTTAATTTCCCAGCTGTGGGATTTCAAACTTGTCCACTTAAAATACAATCGAATCGTCGCTAAAAACGCCGATTGAAATGAATCGATGAAGAAGGACGCGGACAGTCGCTGAATTTTAATCGACCGATGTTAAATATCGGCTGATTTTATTCTTGTTCGCGTTTTGTTTTTATCAATGATTTATCCGTTCGTTGAAGAGTGGGGTATCCTTATTCGATTTTAATTCCTTGACTAAATTTATCGGTGTTTTTAATATGAATGTTTCTTTCGTGTAACCAATAATTTATTTTGAAAATGATAAACCTAACCTTACTCAAGTAAGGAAAGATTTTAATCTCCGTGCGAGTTCTTTTACCGATTGAGTTATCTGTCTCACTGTATGTTTGTCAATATTTTATTTTAGTTACATCTCGGATCTTTTTTAACAACTGCTTTAAATGAAAATTTTCATTTTTAAACGTGAACGCTCGTCAGGAAAGATCATTGTATCTGTTATTTATTTAAATTTTGTCTCTTGTCGTTTCTTATCAGGACATTCATCTGTGGACCATGGTGTATTTCGTATTTCTAGTTTTACCACTTATCGGTAAATTGCAAATTAGACGAATAGCTACTGTGAATTATGTATAATATCGAAGCTATAGTAATGAATACCTTAAAATATATGCAATTTATAATTTATCCATAAGTGGTGAAATTAAAAGTACGAAATATTTCGTGATACGTATGTTAATCGAATGTTGTCCCAAAGAATGAATCACTGTCCTCAGAAGGCAGAAATGCAAACAACACGTAGTTCGTACAGTTTAATCCTAATTTACCTCACTGTTCGTGGAGCAGCAATCTCAATACGTTCTCTCTTGTTTCTTTTTCTATTTTCTCCTTTTAAGATGCGACTCTCTCTCCATACAAAAAAAAGAAAACTATTTTATCTTGCGTGTATGTATTGCTCCTAGTCTCATAAAATACGAGATCAAAAAAGAGGATTGCCATGACTCGTAAGAGAGTCGCTCAAAAAGTATTACTGAAGTATGTATAGCTGTAGGAATAGTAAGATAAAGCGATAAAACTGTGTGCGAAGGTAGAGAAAATGTGCAGTATCGGAAACTAGGAAGTAAGCTAAGTATCGGGAGATAAAAAAGGAGCGGTAATGACGAAAACTGTTTTTCTGGAAAGGAACATTTTTTAGGATCTCTTGTCGTTTAAAATAATTCACCTTTTTACACGACTCAGTAGTCAAATTCAATAGCGTGAACGATCGATCGGCAAAGACGTGTTAGTATTAAACAAATTTAAAAGTATTACTTGATGTTAGTGATATTAAATTATAACTGGTCGAAGTTCTTTGAAAAAAAAAAAAAACCCATAACGTGCTTTTGCGTATTATTCATGATATTATGTTACGATCGTACCTATAATTGGTTGGAAACTTACAAAAGTTTATCAAACGTTTAGGGTTAAGTTCATTTAAATACAGTGTTTCTCGGATCAGTGTAAATTCGAGACCTAGAAGTGACACTAATCCGGGGTAAAGGAAACTGTCATCACATTTGTGAGCATCATTTGAGTAGAAATCTGAGAGGGGGGAGCCACTCAGAAACCAAAACGACTAACTCCATCAAATTGAATTAATTACATTTTTTTTTATTTATAAAGAGTTAAGCATCAAATATGTGCTTTAATACTACAATTGGAAAAATTTCAAAAAGTGGAGTTCATCATTTTGGCTTCCGAGTGGCTCATACATTAGATCATCCCATAAATTCGTGTCGAATTTTATAATTTAGATAAATATATTCAACGAACTTTTAACCCTCGGACAGCGGACGCCGGATGCCGGGTCAAATATGACCCAATACCAAAATCTTCATACTCAAACGAAACCACATTTTTTTCTTCTTTTACTAGGAATTATATTGTTTAAAATCATATAAATATACTGTGATTAAAATAACAAAATGATTTATCTTTGGAATCTCTGTGCTGAAAAAGTTGGGTCAACGGTAACTCGGCATCCGCCGTCCGAAGGTTAAATTAAAAAAAAAAAAAAAATGAACAAAACCGTAAGCGCCTTCTCTATTACTTTTTGGTAAAATCATTATGTCGTCGTTACGGAATTTCCTTGGATTTTCATTAAAATATTTTTGCTTTTGACACGAACTTACGAGATGAAACAAGTTGGAGATATGGTGGGGGTACAGATGTTACACTGATCCGGGGAACACTGTAACGTTTCGAAACATATTCCGTGGTATGTTTTTCTCTTCGAATTAAATTTTTCTCCAACGACCATAATTTCTTTTCTGAAAAAATGTTTTTGTCAATATCACGCTCGAGGTTTCAACATTCGTACCGGTACAAAAACGAGAATAATACACTTTTGTGCCATTGTGTAATTTACGCCATAACAATTGCCATAACGTATTTTGTTTTCTTTATTAATATTTACGCGAAAGAAAAGGCTGAGAGGAGTCGTGTGGCTTTCTCTCTCTTTTTCCTCACCCTTTTTGAGTGTCATACTTTATTTTTTACGTTGTTTCTAGTGTTTTAGTACGCCACGTCGGTTCTTTGTATGTTCGTTTGAAAGTTTGAATGAAACGGTTTCTTTTATTTTTATTTTTTTTCGTTCGAACGTTTTTTTTTTTTTTTGTACCGGTGTATGCTGGATCGCAAAAGACTGTATGTAAATAACCAGTGCATAGTAATATATTTGTATTCGGTGCGAAATTCGTGATCGATATTCACATCTGGCATTTTGAAATACCATTTCACCGCTTTCGATCTGATTTTTATATTTGTAAATCGGTTACATAAACTGTTTTCTTAGTTTTCTCAATGACGAGTTAACATTCAGAAAAATGAAATACGGAAAATATTTTATCTAGATTTACGCGAATATAAAATAAAAATCTGATTTAATCGCTCAAAATTGCATATTTTATGGTTGACATGAAAATTTTTGCGTTCTGATATCGATCACGAAACTTCTATTTTGTAAAGGTAAAAAAATGTTAAAAGTTTATTAATATGTCTAAGCGAAAATCCAAATAATTTCTATGAAATGTCGTGGAAAGATCTGTGTTTCGTTATTTTCACACGTTTCGGTCACTTGTTGTGTACAGAATATCATTTTGGGCAAATTTCTACTTGCTGCAAAGTAAGCCTTATGCCGCGAATGAAGGAAATCAACGGTGTTACAAAATAATAACAAGCTGTTTATTTTATTATTTAACGAGTAGGACATGCAAAGCGAATTTATTTAATTTTTCCACCTGTTGCTTCTTGATCAATTAAAAAGTAGACGTTTTTTATTTCTCGCAATAAATGACTTTTAATTGGGCAATCTTTTAGGTTGGTTAATACAGTTTCAAAATTAATAGAAATTTTAATCTCATTTAAACTCGCATTTGTCTTTATTTTTACTTTAGATATAAACATAAATTGAACTTTTTCAAAGAAATTTGAAAATATTCAGGCTCACTGTGAATTTTTGCAAATCATTTCAAAATGAATATTCTTTAAGAAGAAACTTACATGTTCAATGAAATATAATTTGTACACGGAATATAACGAATGTACAGTCACTAGTTAAAATTATTAACCGAGCACTGAATGTAAGAACGCAAAAATGAATAATTTAATATAGAACATGATTATCGAAAAAGTTAATTGGTCGTTGTATCTGAATTCTTTATCTGCAATTTGAAATTTTATAGGCAACAACGAATCATTTTATTCAGCCATTTTAGATCT